GATTTCCTCCAGAATACATTTGGTATGTAGATACTCAAAAATACTAAAAATACTCTTAGGCTTATATTTGCCCTTTTGCTTCAGTAGTCTACCTATTCACACAAGCTCACCATATTCTTTCCCATCTCTGCACCTTTACTTGGGTCTTTCCTCTGCCTGGAACGCCTTTCTCTGATTATTAATCCAGTTATCCTTCAAGGCTCTTTTAAAATTCTGCCTCTTCTGTGAAATCTCTAATCCAAGCAGCTAGAATTAGCTTTTCTTTCCTCTTTGTTGCCATGGTATGGAACCCTAAAATTCTAGGCTTGAATACAGAAGGGTGCTGCATCACCTATACCCTTTCTGGCTTCTCTGTTTCAAATGCTCACCATAGCATACAAGGCTTTTCTTAGTCTGGCCTCTGCTTAACTCTTCTACTTGCTTTTTGCTATCTTTTTTCCTTTTCTCGCTCTTTTTCAAGCCATACCATCCTTTTATCTTGTTGCTTCTTCTGCTTGGAACTGTCTTGCACCCATTATCCACTTGGCTCACTACTTTTCATTTTTTCAGTCTCTCTTTAAAAGTTATTTCCTTTGAGAAATTTTCTTGACCTGTCCAAGCCTGGTGGGTTATGTCATCCTGTTATGTGTTCTCCCTGCTCTCTGGTCTTTCCCCTTTCTTGACATATTTTAACAATTTGTTTAATGGCTATTTTCCACCACACTGTATATGTCAGAAAGGCAGGCATTTTATATGTCCTTTTTACTTCTGCATCTTGAGCACCTTGCATCATGCCTGACACTTAGAAAACATTCAACCTATATTTGTTTCATGAATAAATTTAATCCAGACTTACTGTAGAAATGGAAATATGGAGGCCCAGAAAGGGAGAGGGATTTGCTCAAGGTCACACAGAGAATCAGTGGCAGAGAAAAGACTGTAGCCCAGATCTTTAGACTCTTATTGCAGTGCTCTTTTCTATATATGCACCTCCACTATTGTATTCATTCTTTGAACATGCTTATGTAGCATTCTGGTTTCTGGACTAGGCTGTGAATTCCTGGAGGGTTGGGACCATGTCTTATACCTGATCTGGTCAATACAGTAGCCACTAGCCACATATGACAATTTCACACTAGAAAGATGGCAAGTTCAAATTGAGATGTACTATTTGTATGCACACTGCATTTCAAATAATGTAAAATATCTTATTAATAAATGTTTACATTGTTTACAGGTTGAAATAACATTGTGGATGTGTTGAGCTAAATAAACTATATTATTAAAATTAGTTTCACTTATTTATTAAACACTTTTAAACGTGGTTCTTAGAATAATTGTGACTCACATTACATTTGCATTATATTGTTGCATATTTCTTTTCTGTTGCATGTTTATTTGATTCCCTTGATGCCAAGCATACAGCTTTGTAGCCGCTAGGTTCACAACACACCCTTGCTGCATATAGTTAAGCTGTAGTTAGCAGGTTAATTGCTGCCATTTATCTTGTCAATATCACTGTTTTGTGGTGAGCCTCACAGTGAAACCTTTGTCCCCAGGCCCAGGTATACAAAAAGTTATTTAGTTCTAGCCTGGGGATGCCCTACACATTGCATCAGCCTTTGAATTTCCTTTCGGAGGAAACCACCATGCAATCCTATGCATAGCAATCACCAGGGTTGAGGTGGTGTGTGTGGACACCAGCCGCTTGCACAGGAAGTGGCCTTAGCTTTGCAATTTTCCCTAGGGCCACTTCTTGAAAGTCTTCTGAAAGGAGGTGGGGGTGAGTGAACAGGAAGATAAACTCAAAACGAAGGGTGAAGGGCTTCTCACCTCCTTCATGGAGGTAGGGTAAGCTAAGCAATGTGGGAACATTGAGTCATGAGATCTCTTTGTTTTGCTTATGCATTGTATGCTTATACATTCACTTATTCACCTCACAGTTCTGGGATAACTAGTTTATTCCTAGGCCTAAGAAGACAGTAAAGATTAAGCATAGTTCCTACTTTGGGCAGTGCTTGGTCTTCTAGTAGAGACTGACATGTAAGTGCAGTGTGGGTGTTTTTCAAGAATAGAGTAGGGCAAGGTGGAAAGCAACTAATTTTGTAGGTGGTTGTCAGAGAAGACTTTCCAGAGACAGTGAGCATCATTTTTTCCTCCCTATCTTTTCAGATATAGCTAAAATCCTATTCTTCTGAGAACCTTTCTAATTACCATCACCTCCTCATCTTCTTCCCTGGGAGAATCTTATCTACATATCTGATGGCACTTCATGCTTTTGTCAAATTACTTATTACATTCTGTAGAGTGACATAGCTCCTGGGGTGCATGCCTGTCTTCCACTTCCCTTTAACCTGAGGATCCTTCAGTCTGATGTGGGGACTGAGGCTCAGAAAGGCTGTGTATGATTGTTCAAGGTCACATAGTTAATGAGTTACAGAGCTTTGTCTATAACCTAGGGTCTAAGATGCAGGGACTCTGATTCCATGTTCTTTCCATTCCAATACTGAGGAAATAAATGAGTATCTGCAGTGTGAGACTCCAGCACTCTCTGCTTGCTCCCCTTGTCAACTCTTTTCCCTTCTTTCTCATCTCCCTCCACAACCACAGGGAAGGCAATAATCATCCGAAATGGGAAAACTTTGTGACTTTTGGTTGCTCTGAGAAGAAGCCTGGACAACAGATCAAAAAGAAGAAGCCCTTTTCTGCTGTTATTGCAAACTTGGCCTTTCCCAGCATAGTTGGTGTTTGTGGGCTAAAGAGGAACTCTGAGCTCAGTTCCCTTTGCTCTCATTTGAGTCCTCTGCATAGATGGTAAGATTTTCAGAGCCTTCTAATGCTCTCTTTTATTGCCCTATTGTTGGGCTCAAAGTAGATACCATTAATTATTACTTTAAGCAAACACATTGTCTCCAGCAACCCCTGTTAGAAAGCTAGTAGAGTACCCTAATTGATAAGGGAGAAAAAAGATGTGTGCAACTAATCTTAATCTCTATTTTGTGAGTAGAAAGAAGGGGGTCCCTTTTTAGCAAAGTGCCCACAGGACCACCCTATTTCTGCTCCAAGCTTTAGTCAGAAACCAAAAAGAAACAGGAACTGAATCTTTCTAGAAGCTAGATCCAAGGTCTTGAGGCCTAAGCCAATAAATTATTCTGGTAGAAGGAAGTTTTCTACAGAGTAATGTTAGTGCAAGTGAATCCCTACCTTAGAATTCCATTGAGCCTCAGGTCCTTCAACAACGGGGAAGCTCACAGTGAGTACGGAAGAGCCACAAAGGAAACAGGGAATGTTTGAGTTGGAGTGGTCATCATGACCATTTAATCCAATCTCTGCTAGTTAAAGGAGAAACTAATGCCCAGGGAGGGATTAGAGTGGAGACTAGGGTGCAGGGCTCTTGGCTCACAGGATGTGGTCTTTCTTTTGAACCTGAATTTATAGGAATATATGTAGCTTGGAAAGGTTATTTACCATTGCTTGAGTACCACTCAGGGTCATACTTCCTCTACTGTAGACAAAGGACTGTGACTTGGGCACTGCAATCATTGAAAGCTATCCAAAATATACCCTGAAAGCATCGAAGGAATTGCCCCTCCCATCCTCTATGCCATCAGAATTCATGGTGGAGGGCACTGCATCATCGGAATTCATCATCTTACTGGCTGTTAATGGGGACTTCCTAGGGACTCTAAACATGAGGCACTAGGAAACCACTCACCCTCTTTTTACACCTTTCATGTCCCTCATTAGCCTAAAGGTCACAGTTTAACTTAGGGGTCTGGCACTGTCTTTCTTTCTCAAGGCCAACTACTTTCTTCCCCGCTTCCTTGTAGCCAATGTGGAAGAGTAGAAGAAAATCTCAACATTTGGACTTAGACCTGAGTGAAAAATCTGCCTTCTCTATTATTTTCTAGTTTTGTTTCCTTAGGCAAGTCACTTTATTTCTGTGTGCCTCAGCCTCCTCACCTATAATAAGAGTAATGATAATACCATACCAGAGGGTTGTTGAATAAATTAGATAATACATGTAAAAGAACATCATAAGTACTCTAATAATGTGAATTTTCTTATTTATTTCCTTCTACAAGCCCCAAGATGACAGAATGTGGCGTGTGGTCATAGCTGTGCCCCAGGGCCAGTTTCATAGGCATATGACCTCTACAGCTTCACAGGGCTCCATGCTTAGAAGAACTCCACACTTAGTTTAATGTTCTGTTGTTGTCAGCTTGATATTCTTAGTTTTTTTTAAATATCCAGCCCAGGCTGGAGTGCAGTGGCATGATCTCGGCTCATTGCAACCTTGCTCTCACATGTTCAAGTGATTCTCCAGCCTCAGCCTCCTGAGTATCTGGGACTACAGGCATCTGCCACCATACATGGCTGATTTTTTGTATCTTTAGTAGAGACTGGGTTTCACTGTGTTAGCCAGGATGGTCTCAATCTCTTGACCTCGTGATCTGCCTGCCTCGGCCTCCCAAAATGCTGAGATTACAGGCGTGAGCCACTGCGCCTGGCCTATTCTTAATTTTCAAATAAGCGGCCTATTATTTTCATTTTTTTACTGGGCCTTGCAAATTATGTAGAGAAGTTGGCAGTAAAATAGTATTCCAGGACCAGGAGTCATTCTCGCAGAGTGAAAGAACATGTGATTTGAAGACCATAGAGATGGGTTCAAATTTCAGCTTTGCCACTAATTTGCTTTGTGATACTGAGCATTTCCTTTTATCCCTCAGAGGCTCTGCTTCTCAATTTTGACAATGGGTTTTTTCATTAGATAATGACTCACTTCTGGCATTCCAGGTTTCCCTCAACTATTCTGGGAAAACCTCTTTGACCCACAGGCAGAGCCTAGGGCAGCCAAGTGCTTTCCGCTCTCTCTCTCTGCAGCTTGGAAAGTTAGTGTCTGTTGAAAGTCAGCTGGGAGTTGGTGGAGGCAGGGCAGTGTTCTGCTACTATTGCTGCAGTAGCAGACCCTTTCACAACAGCATTGTTTTGTCATTTCGCACCCAGATTTCCGTTGGCTAACCTCAGTCTTATCTTCCTCATTTCTGTTTCCTGTTGAAGACACCAAGGGCCCTTCAAAACACACAACCTTCTTGCTCACGGCATAAAGCCCAGTTCCATCTGGCCTCTGCAGGTTGGCTCAGCACTGGGGAACCAGTGTCCCCTCCATGACCAAGGCACCACTCCACTGACAGGTATGGTATCAATTTGCCCTCTCTTCTTGCATTCCCAAGCTAGGGCAGTGTCTATGGCAGCCAAGGGTGGCTTGGATCTGCCCATCCCATTTTCCTCAGCCCCTCCTCAGGGATCAATGTCAAAGGTGGGAGGAAGAAGGTTTCTATTGACCTTCCATCCTGGAAGGACTAGTAGTGGGGAAAAGGGGATAGGATATTTTCTATCCAATTAGGATGTTTAGGAGAAAGTCACATGGAAGTGAAATGTTCTTTGGACACAGGAGTCAGAAAATCTGAGTAGCATTCCTGGTTCTACCATTTATCCAGTGTGTATCTTTGGGAAAGTCCTTTCTCCAATCTAGGACTCAGTTTTTTTCACCCCTTTCGTAAAATAAATAAATCAATAAATAAGAAAAGAATGATCAGATAAGTGCTGTCTAGAGACTTTTAGTTATTAGATTCCATATTTTTATGATTGTCAGCCCTCTGTCAAGAAAAGATGAGAGTAATCTTTGCATATATAACTGTGGGTAGGGCTGAACAAATCCAAGAGGAGGGTAATCCATATAGCACTCTATGAGAGGCATGGCTCAAAGATGAAAGCCTCTTCTCTAGTCCAATTTTTGACTCCTGGAAGTTCAAAATTGCAAGGCTCTTAGAGACCAGGTACATGTGGAAAAAGCAACTGAGGTCCAGAAAGAGGAAGAAAGGGACTTGCCCAAGGTCATACAGAGAATCTGTAACAGAGCTGGGTCTGGACTCCCAGGCCAGTCCTCTTTTTGCTCTGTCCTTGGAGGACAGAGACATCAAGCAGCAGGACCTGTCCTGTAACTGACTCAGTTGGGCCTCCTCATAGTAGAGGCAGTCTGGATTTTTAAGGCATGGTCCTGAGGCCTTCTTCTTTTCTTCTATTCTTCTTTCAGATACTTGGCTCACTCTGAGTGTTCAGAGATTCCCAGACACCTACCTCTCCTACTTCTGGTCAGTTCCCTCCAATTCCCTCCATAAAAACTGACCCATCCTTTGTGTCAATAATAGTGGCTTTGTGAAGCTCTTTAATAGAGGATTTTGCATTTCTTATGGGAAAAAAATGATGTTATTCCAAGTAATGTAACAGACAAAGAAAAGAGCTTCCAAATTCCTTTAATATCATCCCACATAGACATTTGTCTCTTCTTTCTATGGGTCTGGCCAACATTTCTCAACTGAACCTAATTTTCTTATATATACTCCATTGGAGAGGCATGGACTACAACAGCAAGAGTGGAAATGAAGCCAGTCTAGTTTCAGCTCAGCCACCAACTTCTTCCATCAATATTAGAGCAATATTGTCTACAAGGATTTCAAAATTTTGAAGTACTAAGAATTTTCAGCCTTTTCAGCCTTTCATGCCTTCTTTCCAGGCTTTCTGGGGGTGAATAAAGTCAGAGTCAGAGAGGGCATTCAAAAGGTTGTGAACACCTCCATCTTATCTAGGTCTTCCTACTGGAGCTGGTAGGTAATGAGGGTAATGATACCAAAAAGGTAAAAATACATTTCTCTTTTTCCTGCCATCCCCAACTCAGACTCTGTTAATCAGCTTGCTTGGCTGGTCTCCAACCACAGGTCCGGGGGATGAGCCAAGGTCCTTTTGAGCTCCGGTATGGGAACCTCTGGAAAGCTTAGCAACACTTTCCAACAACTTTGCCAGGTAAGTCTTCTTGTCCTCATTTCCAGAGAAGACAACTGAAGCCCAAAGAAAGACTTGCCCAAGCCATGATTATCTAGTTGACGACCAAGACAGCATCAGAACACAAGTTTGTCTAATTTTTTCATACCATATCTGGTGACCATAACTGCTGCTTTTGCTGCTGGGTGACTTAGGCTGGATTGAGTAGGTAGAAAAGAGCCTTAGTTTTAAGGTTACTGATAGAACTTAAATTGAAGGGGTATGTTACCCTCTTACATTCAATTAAAGAGTTGAACAAGAAAAAACATTGAGTATTTTCTTGCTGAAAGACAAGGCTGAATCCCTCTGTCTTGCCTTGGCTGGGACAGGGCTTTCTGGTCTCATGGGGGCAGTTTTCCATTTTTGGTAACCTTGAGATGTTTGCCACTTTTCAATTGACAGTATTTGATGTAGACCAGCTACCTGCTCACAGATAAACTGCCACAGCTGGTAAGGGCAGTAATTTGACCCCAGCAACCTGGCATTTTTAGCAACAAGTTCTGAGTGTTGCCAAGGGAATTCTCCCAGAAGTTTCAGACCTGACCCTTCTTCTTCCCTATTGCCCTGGTGGCTTGTGTGTTCAGTGATCCCAAATGCAGCATTGCAAAGGTACTGTCTGTTTTTTCCCTCTTTGTTGCTGTGTCTCCCCTTTCCTAGAGGGATATACAGAGAAGGGAGGCAAAAAAAAAACAAAAACAAAAACAAAAAAAACGAGGGAAGCTGTGTAAGGCATAGTGCTGAACACTGTAGAAAACTTATTGTATAAACTTTACGAGTCTCCTCCCCAACATGAGCCTTCGTTCTCTCATTTATAACCTAAGCGAGTGAGACTAGATGATCTTTAAAGGCACTTTAATAACTGCCATTCTTGAGTCCCTATGGGACAAGAGGATCATGTTAGGCAAGGCTGAGACCACGAGAAATCAATGTCACACCTGTCCAGATTCTGCTAAATCAATTGCCAATAGCTCTTGCTTTCATTTTGGTGTTACAATCACTATTTTTTTAAGTATTTGTTATGTATTGAATACTGAACCAAAGGCTTTATGTGCATTTTCTCCTATCATTCTCACAATAACCTTATGAGGTGGGTATTATGCTTACATACATTTTGTGGGTGTAGCAAACTTGTGCTCAGAGAAGTGAAATGATTTATCCAAGGCTCCCTGACTAGCTAATGGAAGAGCTAGGATTTAAGCTCATGTTTAACCTCAAAGCCTATGTGTATAACCACAACACTGTGAAAACACAGCTTGGGGGAACTGAGAAGACGGAGCAAACATGCTGACTCTGGGGTCTGGTACTTTCCCCAAGTCAGAGAGTCAGGATGACGACCAAATTTTCCCCTCTTTGCTTCATAGAGGAACCCACTGAAGCTTGGGACACCTAGAAATGCCATAGCTACAGGACTCAGGTCTGAGGAGCTTTCAGCTGAGCACTGGGTGTCAATCAGGCCTTCCCCACTTATCCTTAGGATCTCTCTTCTGGTTAGGAACCTTATGCCTATTCCGCTCAATTCCCTATTCCGGTGCTTTGGCTGGTCCTTTCAGCAAGTTCTCTGGGGCTAAGAGTATTACGTTATCACTTCTTTCTCTCTTTTTCCCTCCAGGGTCACATCTCCCAGGAAGAACTCACTTTCCCGCAGAAGCCCCTGGCCTGGCCTCCTGCAGTGCCACGCTCCGTGTATTTGACAAGCTGAGTTAGACACTCCGTGTGGTAGAGTGTCAGTTTGTCAAATACCCCAAGTGTGACACATGCTTAGCAGCTCCAGACCAGGGCAGATGGGATATAACAGATGAACTGCCAGCTGCATACAAGGATGCTCACCAAACACCAAGTTCTCATGAGTTATTTTATGTGACTTTGCAGGAACTGATGCATTGTATCTGAGGACACCAGGGGAGAAGTGTGGCATCTGTGGGCAATACAGCCCTGGGCTTCGTCTACATACATCACGAGAGTGCTGATGGGGGCACAATAGTCTCAAAAATGTATAAAAGGTCCAGGAATAGAAGTGATCTTTGATACATTATTATTTTCTTCCTTCACATTCTCCTCCCAGAGTCTCCCATCTAGGACACCAGAATTCTCACACAATCATCATAGCTTATGTGAGAAAGCAGGGCTTAGAAATTCACTTTCTTGACACTCAGTCTTGGCTTCTAAACACTCCTTGACCTTGCCTACCTCCTCCCTTTTCCACATGTCTTTTCATCTATGAATACTTTCCCCATTTATTTCTGCCTATTCAAGTCTTCCCCACATTTCCTGGCCTAGCCAAAGTCCAGTGTTTCCAGAGACTTTTAAAAGTCAATTTATACTTTTTCCTTCTTCACTCACAAAGCACTTCTTGCCCGGGCCCTGGTATATGCCTCTTCCTCTCTTACTAACAGCACCTCTTGAATTGTCAATTAACTTTTCTAGGGGGGTATTGTTGAATTCCCAACTAGATTGTGAGCTTCTAGAAGACAAGGCTATGTATCTTTGATTGCTGTCTCCCCTACCACAGCCCAGTAGTTTGGTTACAGAAAAAAATAAACCTTTATTGATTGATTGACTTTCCACTAGTCCACTAGCTTTAGGCTTTGGGGCCAAATTCTACCCTGGATTTTGAACATGAAATCGAAGTGCATACACCAAATGTTATAGAGCATATTAGGTAGTAGCCAACATGAAGGGTTTTTTCTTCCTGAGAAACAGTGTCAAGGGCTGGAAGAAAAGGACGAAAGAGTAGATTCATAGGGCAAATAATTTTGGTATTACTTGGTTACACAAAGTTATACAGGTGTTTTACTACAGGATTTTTCAGAGCCTTTAATAGTCTAATGTTACATTGACAATCTCAAAGATGAAACCGTAGAATGAGGCATTTGCCACACTTAACTGATCATGAATTTTTTTCCCACAGGAAAAAAAACTTTTCCTATGTGTCAATGGCCCATTAAGCCAAATTTGGGAAAGTGTCCTAGAGAAACTTTACACCTTCTCTCTGTTCTGGAGATCTTTTCCTCTTTTCACTTGTCTACTTTCTCCACCCAGCCACCCACCTAAGAAAGGTCCCATGTTATCACCTCATTTTTGTTTAGCCTATCCTGCAGCTTTGAACTATCTCTATACATAGGAATTTTTTACTAGTTTGTCCTATATGAAAAAAATGCTCAGTTTTGAGACAAAGAAGATCCAGATGCTGCAATAAATATATGCACTGAAGAGTTCATGGGGCTGACTTTTGGTCTCTGCTCTACCACTGACTTGGTTGTTGTTCCTCTCCGAGCTTCATTTTCTCATCTCTAATATGGGAGTATTAGAATCAGTAATCTCTAGGCTCTTTAAGATGAATGATTTTGAGATATCCCTGGGAGTCCTTAGCTCTTAGGGAGAAGTGTGCCTGGATTTGTGGCTCGTTTAACCAGTGAAAATGCAACCAGGATTCTCTCCCCAACACCTGAAACTCATTTTTTGATGGGTAGCAGGGAAAGATAATGGGTATTTTCAAAGGCTGTAGGGGATGGACACAGAGTTGTTTCATGAAGGAAGGTGAGGTTTCCACCGGGTGGAGACCCTATTTCAGAGGCTTGTAAGCACCATGGGAAAGAAAGAGTTGTTCCTTTCACCAACTAGGTGAAGCCAGCATCTGCAATGAGGAAAACGTTGAGGTTTTTACCGTGGATCAGGCATGTTAGTGAAGTGGTGGATTCCTTTTTGTTACTTTCGTGTACTATTTTGACATCTGTAATCATTGCAAAAGGGGAGCAGCTCCTTGTGAAACATGAGCTGTCCTTGGGGCTACATGGAACCAGAAGCTGCAACATGGCAGCTTCTTTGAAGAGTGCGGAAGTTGATTTGACATTAATTACATGGGGAAAAGAAAGCTGTGTAGACCTGGGTCGGAACAGGTTCTCACAGAGGAGCCTTATTTAAAGGTGCAGGAACTTATGTGCACATACAAACTCACACACAAACACTCTCTCTCTTTCTCTCTCTCTCCCCTAACCCTATTCCTGCGGGAAGAGAAAGGCTTTCTTGCTCTTACCCCACCTTGCATTGTAAGAAATTGTGTAAAGAAGATAACCTGTGAAAAATGCAACTACCCCCAAGATTTTAAGATTCAAAGAGGTAAAATCCTTGGGAGTGGTGCATCCATGCTTTGGAAAGAAGGAAATTCCTTCATCTCTGCATTCATAGTGACCGGAGACAGAAGGACTTTTTCTTTTCCAGGCTTCCAGTTGATGTGGGAAGAATCATCCAGGTGGACCTGGCAGGATGATAAGTGGGGTAATGGAATCAGGGGAGTACTATGTAATCAAATATTCACTGTGTTCCAGCTGGGTTCACCAGTGGAGTAAAGTAGGAGTGGCATGTGTGGGAAGGGGAAAGACCAAAACAGCAAAAGTGACATCCATACTCTCAGGGGCCCAACCATCGAGAGAAGAACAACACAACTGAGATTGCTGTTATGATTAGATATTTATTGAGCATTAAGAGTCAGAACATTAGATTTTCAGTGCAGGAGCAGTACTGAACCCTGGTCTGTGGTATAACAATCTCAATTAAAAGATGTCTGGCCCTGAAGAAAGAGAAATGATCCTGGATGCAGCTGGTCCTCTGAGCTGGCAGAGCTGAGTCTCCCGCTGGTCTTCTGGTGGCAAGATGCTAAAGTTGAATAGTGCCTGTAGGCATGATGATAAAGTCCTACTGCTACGGGTGTCGTCCCTCTGGTGTTTAGAGAGGAGTACCAGAAGCTCCAGGCAGAGATACTAGAAGGGCCCAAGGCCAAATCCAGCAGCTGACTTACGTGAAATGCATCTGGCAAATTCTAAAGCAAAGCCAGTGACTCCCAGGGGCCCCAGTATTGGCAGGGCAGAAATTTGAGGCTATTCATGAAGATAGGTAGCAGGGAAGGCGGCTATGCAGAAGGCTAGGACTGAACAGGCAATTATGTCAGCAGATCCTGGCCTACTGGGGCATTTTTAACAGACACTCTTGCCTCAGTGGCCAGAAACTCATAATACAGAGGAACTGCGTGCAGCTGTGTGTAGTCACCGTTGATCTGGGTGATGATCTGGTACTCCTGGCCTAGGCAGGGCTGATCAGAGTAGTTGTTGCCCAGATTCTGGGAAGTTGGCTCATCACTGGAGCAGACATTTGCGAAGATGGCCACCCTCATGGTTTCTCCAGAGTCGTTGGCCTCCCTGTCATGCACCCTATGGCCCAAGAGCCCACCACCCATAAGAAGGGGCTTCGGGCTGGGGTCCTGGTTTCCCACCCTTCTGCCTCAATTCTTGCCAGTTAATTCTCGGAATCCTGCCTCCCAAAGATTCTGGGAGCAGAAGACTGATGGATTTAAATTATCCTTTGTTTTCAGAGGGCCAAGACAACCTCAGGAGGTGCCTGAGAGAGGGGAGAAAGCTATGTCCTGACCCTGAAGGCCTCTGGCCTTAGGATTCAATTTGTGCCACACCCCCTTTCCTCTAGGTTTCCCAACAATAATAGAAATTGAGGGCAGGGAAGGGGCCAAAAATGGAAGAGGAGAGGCTTTCTTACCTAGCCGCTTCACAGACATGCTCTAGAAAAGAAGGAGGAATCATGTCAGAAGTTTTCATGGCAAGTGGACAAGGGTCAAGCATGGACCCTGGGTACCAGTCAAAAGACAAGGGAAGGGTATGGAGAAGGGGATTTTATGTCTCAGCTTTCCAACAACTTGGAGGTATGGGAGAGGTGAATTGAAACAATGATGCAGATTTATCAGGGAAAGGAAGGAAAAGCACAGCCTTTTTGTCATCTCTGACTCAGGATATTGGACTGGAGCAGTTTCTGGGTATGGGTTGGGGGAGGGCACTGGAACTGGTCCTGCTCTTTTCCCAGGAATCTCTCCCAAAGATCCCCAGAGAGTCCTTGCGGGAAACTTGACTGTCAGGCCAAGAGACCGGGAAGAAGTGGCTGGATTAGCCTTATGCCGATGACCATGACCCAAGCCATTCCCAAATGCAGTCACCACCACCATATACCCAGGAAAACCCATGGAATAGGTCACCATTGCCCCCTAGTGTCTGAAATAGTGTCCTATATTCCATACAGGCTCAAAGTCTTAGATTGGTACAAAGATACGTATTTCTTGGTACTGCCCTCTAGGTGCTTATAATTTTTCTGGGCTGCAACTGGAATTGCAAGCATTAAATGACAACAAAGTAAACAAGGCAAGCCACAGGACTTCTGCCTTGTGCTAGAGCCCTGCATTTCTGTGTCTCACCTTCTCCACTGGCCTATGAGCTCCTGTACTGCAAGGGTCCTGTCTTTTTCATGTTAATATGCCCAATGCGTGTCACACAATATATGCTCAGTAATTATATTAAGTTAAATTGAAGCCCTAAAGCTATCTTCCTTGTAAAGAAGTAGGAAAGAGAAAATTCTGGAAATGAGACTAGGCATAAAGAAATGATGGAAGTTAGAAAATTGGCTACAGCAAGATCACAGAGAGCATTGAATAGAATGCTACATTTTGACCTTTATTCCCTGGGCCATGGGAAGCCATGGTAAATTTTTGAGAGAGAAAAAATTTAATGTGGTTACTGTTTATGCCCAACCTCATCAAGACTATGAGAAATACTCTCCTTTTAGTGCCCCTGGGGTTTGTGGCCGTGTGAGGTATCTGTGCTATCACATTCAGCCTCATGGTGATAGCCATGCCAACTGGCCAAAGCCAGAGATTATACTTGAGATCTGAGAGAAGGAGATACTTGAAACTCCCTTCTGATGGTGAAAATCCATGAGACCCATGGTAGAAATCAGGCTGTTTGGGAGTAAGAGATACTACAGAAAATAACACAAACTAATGCTAGGGAAAATGACCAGTGCACTGGGTATTGAGAGACAGCTAGGGCTTTTTATTTTCCTTTTAGAAGCAAACATCTCAATATTCTTTTTCCTCCCGTGTTGACTCACAGTTTTTAAATGACCCTGACAACCGTGCTGTCATGATGCCACTTCCATGCTTGAAAAATTTGGTGACTTTTAGTGCCCTTACAAGGCCTAGTGAAGAAAGTCCAAATTATTTAACCTGGCATTCAAGGCCTTCTATAATCAGGAATAAGCTTCCCTTTCCCACGGTACTTCCCTGTTGCCCATCTACAGAATTTTTTCTATTGATTACCCCACTCTCAGTTGTCTTTTAGGTCTTTACAACTTTGCTGATGTAGTTCTCGCTTCCTGAAATACTGTCCCCTTACGAATTATTTTCATCCTCTAAAATGTGGTCTAAGATATTCCTCTTTCTGGAATCCCTTGCTAATTGCTCAAGCCTTAAATGATTCTCTTCTCCTCTGCATCCCTTTATTATAGCTTTCTTCTCTAGGTTTTGAACTCATAGCCTTTATTGCTATGTGTTATTATTGATAAGTTCCATGTTTCTACCTTGAATCTCCTGAATAAATTGTAAGAAACTTGAAGGCAGGGATTGTGACTTTTCCTTCTCTGTATCATTACAATGACTCATTAAAAGATGGTTATACTTGACTGAGTGCCAAAGACTAGTGCATTTAGTTCCATAAGTCTTATGCCATTGTTTGTCTGAACGTCTGTGTCTTTGCATTCTCCCTCACTCCTGAACTAGGCTGGGAGCTTCTTGAAGTGCCTAACACAATGCCTGATACAGAATTTAGGTTCAAATATACTGACAGAAAGAATAAATGAGCCAAAGCCACCTTCTCATATTCATCACTCACCTTGTTGGGACGTCTTCCGGCAGAGCATGATATAGGCCATGGTAAAAACCACCATACAGCACAAGGAGATGATGAGGACGATGGCAAAGACAGGCATGCTCTTTCCTAGGGGGTAAACAAGATCAAGTGGTAACTGGTTGAAAATAAGGACAGAAACAAGAACTCTAAGGAACAGACCAGACTAGGCCAGACCTATTTTTTTCCTTTTTACATATTCTGCCAACCTTCTTAGCAAGCCAGAGAAACAAACTAAACTCCAGGTCCATGAGAAAGACTTGAGAAAGAGATGTCAGGTTCTTCCAGACTCACTGGTTGGCTGATTTGCCTGGGCATTTGAGCTAGTTCCCCATGCTTTCTATAGGGCCAAAATTGAGGATTTTCACTTTCCCTTAGAAAAAAGAAAATAGGACCAGGCGCAGTGGCTCACACCTGTAATTCCCACCAGTTTGGGAGGCTGAAGCGGGTGGATCACCTGAGGTCAGGAGTTCGAAACT